TGGCATGGTTTCACTTTCGATCAGTTCAATGGAAATTTTGAAAATACATTATTTTTGCTAGATACGAGACATCTAGAGGTATTATTAGTTGTGAAAGTAATCACTTTATGTAATACGGCTTTCGCAAGTCTCTTAGCTTGAAGAAATGTGGCATTGTTCACGGGATGATTATTCCTTAATCCACACAGACTATTGTGTAAGTAGAGGTGAATAATAAATAGATAAATATAATTTTAGAGAAGCTAAGGACGTCTAAGAACTAAAACATTAAAACCTACCATTCAATCCATCAAACAAACAACTCCCTAATAAAATATTAAATTCATAACATTCATCAAATTATAAAATAATATTCACTTTGTGGTAAGGGTCTGTACCTAAAATAATAAAATGTTTCTCATGTTATGCAATTTTGGTACATTAGGTGTAAGGATCTGTACCAAAAATAAATTAATATTTGTGTTGAAACATGAAAAACAGAAAATTACGGAGTCTGTTAAAACTTAAACATCAAACCACTTCATTTTGATCCTGGGTCCACAATGCTATGTGAACCCTGGTCTACGATATAAACTGCCTTATACCATGGGCAAATTTTACCGTGGACGATGCATGGTCTATGTGGGAGCGTGGATCATGAAGTATATATGTATCATTTTAATTACACTTTTGTTTTATTTGACAATATTGCTATGTTTTTTAGTTTCATTTTCCATCCAAACTAATTTCATTATTAGCAATACTAAAGTATCATTTTAATTCTATTATAGTTTCATTTGATAATATACATTATTGCTTGAACTCTATTTTATTGTTTCATTTTCCACACACAGTAGTTTAATTATAGTAATATTGAAATATTATATATTTTAATTGCACTTCATGTCACTTGACATATTAGTAATAAGATAATATTCTTTTTTAATTAAGGAATGGAGTTTTAAATTAAAGGGCTAATCGTCAAGCACCTTGTGGTCAGATGACATGGAGTGACCTCTCTCAAGTGGGAGGTCATGAGATTGAACCTCAGGCATTGTTGACTCAGTAGCATTCAAAATTATACTTTTTGTTTGGGTTCACAGTAGCATTCAAAATTATACTTTTTGTTTGGGTTCAATGGCATGTTTGCACTTTCGATCAGTTCAATGGCAAATTTGAAAATATATTATTTTTGCTAGATTTGAGACCCTTAGACCTATTATTAGTTATGAAAGTACTCACTTTATGTAATAACGTTTTTGCAATCCTCTTGAAGAAATATGAAATTAATGAGTTAAACTAATTGACCCATTAAAACACGAAATATAACCAGGCCTGCAGAAAACTGCAGGATGCTAAAGGCCTCTCTAATCTTTCCCAACTTAATTGATATACTATACACAGTAATGGTTCGACAAGCTAGGGCTCAAACAGCTAGTATCCAAAGTCCTAGTCAAGCATGCCACTGACCATATCCATCAAACTAAGGAAAGGAACTCATCATCATAATAATGACTTAAAAGAGGCCGGATCCGATCCAATAAACAAACCAACACTGCTAATTAAAGACTAAGTGACCAGAAAAAGAAATCACCGTACCAGAAGGCATATGGAAATCAAAGAAGAAAACACCAAAGTCTTTAATTTGCACTGAAAGATCAGAATAAGAAACAACTGACCGATCATCCAAGACATGTTAAGGGTATAGGAATGAGGCTTATAAAAAATTGAATAAAATTAGAAATGAGGCTTATAAAAAATACAAAAAACTTATAAAACCCTATACATAATATAACAGGTCAAACCGTTAAACAGTAAGATTAAAGTTTGTTATAAAATCGCAGCTGAACCTTTTATTAAGGCTGCCTACGTACTCCAGATTATGTCTGGGATCAAGGCGCACGTAGTTCTTGAGTACATACATGGATGGATTGAATGGATCAAACGTGTACAGGTTTTGAATATAAAGAGTAGTTTGGCTTGAGGTTCTGGTTTTTCTTCTTCAACCCCTTCATTTTTGCAAGCAACCTTTGTCGGACATCACCGTCGACGTCCTTACTACAACGAGCAATTAGATTTTTGTTGGAATGATGAATCTTAATACTCTTCTTGGCTTTCTTCACCGTATCTTTGCTCCAACTTCCTCTTCGTGGCTTCCAGTTTGATTGAGTAATTGTGTGAAGACGATGCAGGAACTACTTGGTGGTCTTCAATCTGCTCTTTCTTCAACTTGAGAATGATCTTGAGTTTCGGTGCGCCAATCTTGGGGTTCGGCAAACCCAATTCTTCTTCCATGCCCAAACATGCAGATGATGATTCCACGTCCATAGCTGATCGAAGTGCTGATCGATATGATCCAGAATATAATAATGAATGAACGAATGGTTATAGTATAGGGACCTAGTATAGTATATATGTTTTCTTTTATATACTTACTTCGGAAATGAGAGAATATAAGTTTTTTTTTTTTGAAAATGAGAGAATATAAGTTAGTTGTACGTGAATCCTTGTTCAATAATGAAAAAGGATTTTTTAATTTTAATTACTAGCTTGGTGCTTAAGCTTAATTTAACATTATCACTTTAAAATTATTTACTTGTTCAATAAGTATATATTAATGAATCAAATATGAACCACCCTAAAAAACCTAGCTATGAACCAATCTCAATCTTAAATCTAAAAAAAAAAAAAAAAAAATCTTAGTGCTCATGCACATTAACAATTGCACCAAAAATAAATAAATAAATATAGATTAGAGATACCCAAAATTCAAAACAACCCTAAAATATTAAAATCTTTTAGTTATTATTTTTGGAGTGAATTCCATTTTTGGTCCTACTGTTATTGGGCCGTTTCCAATTTTAGTCCACCTTAATTTTTTTTGCCACTTTATAATTACTATTATTGAATGTGTTCCAATTTTAATCCCACTGTTAGTATTTCCATCAAGAGGCCGTGTAATCTAGGGGTATTTTGACATTTCTTCTCATCCAAGACTATGTTTGACTAAAGAAATGAGAACATTAAACCTAAAACCTAAGAAACCTCGCCGGCCCATGTCAGAACGAACGAAACGATGTTGCTTTGGCTTCCCATTCTCGTTGTTCGAAGAGCCATCTTCAAATATTGGAGGAGGAGGTCGAAGCGCCTGGATTAAAAGAGAAGAGACAAACATAAAAAGGCCAAAATACCCTTTGATTATACGGCATCTTGACGGAAATATTAACGGTACAGTGGACTAAAAGTGGAACACATTCAATAACAGTGGTTGTAAAGTGGCAAAAAAAATGAAAGTGGATTGAAATCAGAAACGCCCCTATAACAGTAGGACCAAAAATGGAATTCACTCTTATTTTTGGGAGTTATGCATGATTGCATGAGTAGTATTTTTGGTATATTGAGATTCTTCCACCTTTGTTTCATACGTCATTCTCTAATGTCGACATTGTGTCATTTCAGTAGACACGAACACGTCTCTATGCTCCGGCGAGATAGGTTAGTTCAGTTTTTCTGATAAGCGGCAATTTTTATGGCATTCGAGTCTATTTACATTGGTATGTAACAATATGCACTTCAATCTCTCTCCCTATTTTTGCCTCGAAAATTCTAACCAAGCCTTCATTTACTTATAGCAACTCTACCAATAACGCAAACAATAAACATTGATGTTCCTACATACGCTTTATATAATGATGAAAATCAAAAAGAGTGGAAAGACAGCTATTCTCCTACACTACATGGGGATGTTAGAGTTTTGATTTTGCTATTCTCAATGAGGAGCCTCCGGCTATCACTACACACAGCGCTGAGGCTGCTAAATTGAAGGCACATAGTACGTTCCTTAATAAAATTATGTGGTTGTATATAAATTGAAGGCACATAATTTGTTAACTACAAGCACATATTACATAATATGTTAACTGTACTATAGGTACATAATATGTAGTTAATGTATTATGTGTCTGTAGTTAACAAATTATGTGCATTATTGAATTTAATTATAAGCACATTGTTTTTTTGAAAGGGTAAACTTAATTCATTGAATCATCATCAAGACAGTTTACATGGAAAGAAGGGGGCGTATCAAACCACTCCCCGCAATCTGTCGTAGAAATGGCCTCCCTAGCAACAATGTGGGCCGGTCGATTCGCAGATCGCTTAACAAACCGGAATTCGACATTATTAATCGTAGATACCAATTTTTTAATATCATCCACTAGTAGTCCAAAAGAAGAATAAAACGATGCACAAAAAATAGCATTAAAAAGCAATTGAGAATCTGTTTCAACGTCAACAGAGCCTATTCCCGTACTATTCAGCCAACCAAGCGTTTCTCACATACTCAACGCCTCCGCCTCCTTAACATCATAAACCCCGTTGGCCCTCTCATCCTTCGCCGCAAGGAACCCGACATCATCATGTCTTAGCACCCACCCTAGCCCCATCTGATTATTCTGGTTGTCTGGTGCGACATCTGTGTTCAACTTCACCCGCCCCGATGTGGCTTCATCCACCGGTCCCTCTCCCTGCCAACCTAAGACGCATACACATATACTAGGATCTGCAATGCATTGTAAACCTTGATCTATGAATTATAATACCTGCCAACCTAAGACGCATACACATATACTAGGATCTGCAATGCATTGTAAACCTTGATCTATGAATTATAATATGACGTCCCAACAAAATCTGAATTATCAATAATAATAATAATAATAATAATAATTCCCAACAAAATCTGAATTATCAATAATAATAATAATAATAATAATAATAATAATAATAATAATAATAATAATAATCGGTAAACAAACAAATAACGAAAAAATTGTAGCTGAAAATGATAGTTGAAACACCATTTTTCCAGTGGATTTTGTAATTTACCAGAATGCCCATACCTCCTAGCCTGCCGGTAAGAAGAAATTTCTGGTAGTTTCTAGGCTGTGCTTCACAACTCCAGACTTCTCTTTTAGCTCATATAAAATGACTCCTCAATCGCTATCTCTCTCTAACTCAGAAAACAAAAAGATTTTCAAAATCCCACTGCAAAATCTCATAATCAACTTCGTTCAAGACAAACAGCCGCTTAGATTTTCGCCAAGGAGAAAACCCCACTACCCAATATTCATTCATCGCAATTCGCAAGGTATGTGAACTATCCATTCTGGACAAACTCTATGTAAAAAGTTGTGTTTTTCTTCATTTGATTTTCGAAATTCGGTTTTAGCAAATGTTTCGTTGTTTATGTTGCAATCCCGTTTGGTTAAATCACACAATCAATTTGCAATGTTGGGATGAAATCTGCTGGTCTTATGCAATAATTTCGGTTTCGTTTTTAGCTGGGGAATGATGTTCATGGTTTGTTGTGTCTGCAGGTTTTTGCTTTTAGTGTTTAAAGAAGAGTGATTAGAATGAACCCAGAAAAGTTCACCTACAAGACCAATGAGATCCTTGCCGAGGCTCATGGGCTGGCTATGAATGCAGGGCATGCACAATTTACGCCTCTGCATATAGCCGTGGCCTTGCTGTCAGACCACAATGGAATTTTCCGGCAAGCCATCGTCAATGCCAGTAGCAGCGAGGAAACGGCGAACTCGGTCCAGAGGGTGTTCAATCAAGCAATGAAGAAACTGCCGGCGCAGACCCCACCGCCGGACGAAATCCCGGCCAGCACGTCGCTGATCAAGGTGATCCGGCGAGCACAGGCGCTGCAGAAGGCCCGCCAGGACTCGCATTTGGCAGTTGATCAGTTGATTTTGGGGCTTTTGGAGGATTCTCAGGTCGGAGACCTTTTGAAGGAAGCCGGAATTAGCTCTGCTAGGGTTAAATCGGAGGTAGAGAAGCTGCGAGGAAAGGAAGGGAGGAAAGTGGAGAGTGCTTCTGGAGATTCTACTTTCCAAGCACTGAAAACGTACGGCCGTGATCTGGTGGAGCAGGCCGGAAAACTTGATCCCGTGATCGGTAGAGACGAAGAGATTCGAAGAGTTGTTAGGATCCTTTCGAGGCGAACGAAGAACAATCCGGTCCTCATTGGAGAGCCCGGGGTGGGAAAAACAGCTGTTGTTGAAGGATTAGCACAAAGAATTGTCCGGGGCGATGTCCCGAGTAACCTTGCTGATGTTAAGCTTATAGCATTGGACATGGGAGCACTGGTTGCTGGAGCAAAGTACAGAGGGGAATTCGAGGAAAGGTTGAAAGCTGTGTTGAAGGAAGTAGAAGAAGCAGAAGGGAAAGTGATTCTCTTCATTGACGAGATTCATTTGGTTTTGGGCGCTGGCCGAACCGAGGGGTCTATGGATGCTGCAAACCTCTTCAAGCCAATGCTCGCGAGGGGCCAATTGAGGTGCATTGGCGCCACGACCCTCGAGGAGTATAGGAAATACGTGGAGAAGGATGCAGCGTTCGAGAGGCGATTCCAGCAGGTTTATGTCGCTGAGCCTAGCGTTCCCGACACGATTAGTATCCTTCGGGGGTTGAAGGAGAGGTATGAAGGGCATCATGGTGTTAAGATTCAGGACAGGGCACTTGTGGTTGCAGCACAGCTCTCTTCTAGGTACATCACGGGGCGCCATTTGCCCGATAAGGCTATAGACTTAGTTGATGAGGCTTGTGCCAATGTGAGAGTTCAGCTTGACAGTCAGCCCGAGGAAATTGATAACCTCGAGAGGAAAAGGATTCAGTTGGAAGTAGAACTTCACGCCCTCGAGAAGGAAAAAGACAAAGCTAGTAAAGCTCGGCTTGTTGATGTAAGGAAGGAGCTCGATGATTTAAGGGATAAGCTCCAGCCTCTGATGATGAAATACAACAAGGAAAAGGAAAGGATTGACGAACTCCGTAGTCTCAAAAAGAAGCGGGATGAACTCCAGTATGCTCTGCAAGAAGCCGAGAGGCGGTATGATCTTGCTAGAGCTGCAGATTTGAAATACGGGGCGATTGAAGAGGTGGAAACCGCAATTGCCAAGCTCGAGAATACGGTCTCGAGTGAGGATGCAATGTTAACCGAGACTGTTGGACCTGACCAAATCGCGGAAGTAGTGAGCCGGTGGACTGGAATACCGGTTACGAGGTTGGGTCAGGATCAGAAAGAGAGATTGATTGGGCTTGCTGAGAGATTGCACCAGAGAGTGGTAGGACAGGATCAAGCCGTGAGCGCTGTTGCGGAGGCTGTGTTGAGGTCGAGAGCGGGACTCGGGAGGCCACAACAACCAACTGGCTCATTCCTTTTCTTGGGACCAACCGGTGTTGGGAAGACTGAGCTTGCCAAAGCTCTTGCGGAGCAATTGTTTGATGATGACAAATTGATGATTAGGATTGACATGTCTGAGTATATGGAACAACACTCGGTTGCCAGACTAATTGGAGCCCCACCTGGGTAAGTTCAGCTCCATTTATGACTTTTACAATCAAATATATTGATAGAATCAAACGTTTATCACTAGTCAAAAACTACAGATAGTAGTTAAGACGCAACCACCAGGTGCTGAACTTGGCCGTTCACCGGCCTTCACCTAACATCTAGCCACTAATTGATAGATTTGGTTTATCGGCATCTATCCAACACATATATTTTAACCAATTGTGCTAATAAGCTGATTATCTAATGTGTTCAGCTATGTTGGGCATGAGGAAGGCGGTCAGCTGACAGAAGCTGTAAGGAGACGACCTTACAGCGTAGTCCTTTTCGATGAAGTTGAAAAAGCCCATCCTAGCGTCTTCAACACCTTACTTCAGGTTCTAGACGACGGAAGGCTAACGGATGGACAAGGCCGCACAGTTGATTTCACCAACACTGTTATAATCATGACTTCTAACATCGGAGCAGAGTATCTCCTGAATGGACTCCTGGGCAAATGCAGCATCGAGAGTGCCCGGGAAATGGTGATGCAGCAGGTGCGGAAGCATTTCAAGCCAGAGTTGCTGAACCGGCTGGACGAGATAGTAGTGTTTGATCCTTTATCTCACGAGCAATTGAGGAAAGTGTGCCGGTTCCAGTTGAAAGACGTGGCAGTCCGCCTAGCGGAGAGGGGCATCGCCTTGGGAGTAAGTGAGGCTGCACTGGATGTTGTATTGGCACAAAGCTATGATCCGGTAAGTTTCATTTCATTTCTCATATACTCTTTAAGTCTCTAACTAATTGTGTTCGACGAAATGACTGAATGAACTTTGCTGCCTGCAATGGTGGTTGTAGGTGTACGGGGCTAGGCCGATTAGGAGATGGCTGGAGAAGAAGGTGGTGACTGAATTGTCGAAGATGCTGGTGAAAGAGGAAATCGATGAGAACTCAACTGTGTACATAGATGCTGCATATAACGGGAAAGAGCTGTCGTATAAGGTGGAGAAGAACGGCGGGTTGGTTAACGCCGCCACGGGACAGAAATCTGATATACTGATTGAAGTCCCTACTAGTAATGGCAGTATGAGTGATGCTGCTCGGACTGTTAAGAAGATGAAGATCGAAGAAATAGATGAAGATGAAGAGATGGAAGATTGAAACCCAACCCTAGAAGTTATAATAATATGATGTTTTATAGAGTGTAAATTTTTGTTTGGCCCCAAGGCCTTTAATTTGCTGCATTGTATCGATAACTTTTTGACTTTTTGTTTGTTCATATGGTTGTCATCCCCTGAGTTTTAAAATAACTCCTTTATTTAAATTAAAATAACTTTTTTTACTATTCTGTTTAATTCCACCACCAATGTTAACATGATTTCTTCCCTTTTGACACAACTCCATTCGATCACCAAAAACTCAGTACTGAGATTGTGCGCTATGCACTGCTCACTCAAAACAAAAAACAAAAAACAAAAAAAATACACTGTTTGTCAATTGGGAAAGAGAAGAAATAGTAGGATACCTAGGCTTTGATATCATGTAAATAATTTTATTTAAATTATAAATTTAATTAAATCCTTATGAAACAAGAACATAACCAGAATCTAAATAGCGATATATATTGCAATTTATAATCTAAATATATATCACAAATTTATGATCTTAAAATCTAAATATATATCACAAAGTTATCATCTAGCATCATATAATAAAGTAGCAATATTATTTAGAATATCCTTCATCTCAAATTGACCCTTCAAAAACATAACTTTTCAGAATCAGAATACCATCTGTTTGAGTCGTGTTGATAATTGTACGGTGTTGCGCTGACTATTCTCTAATCCTCACATACTTTTGTATAAATAGTGCTTTTGATTTGCATGTGTAAAATGAGAAAATTGAATTTGAATAAATTGAATGAAATTAGAAATGAGACTTATGAAAATACAAAAAATCATAAAAATCACATACATACACTAGGTATGTAAAAGTGTTGATAATTGTCCGGTCTTGGGGTGACTAGGCCCTATTCCCCGTAGAGTTTTGTACAAATGCTTTTAAAATGAGAAAATTGAAATTGAATAAAATTAGAAATGAGGCTTATAAAAAATACAAAAAATTTATAAAATCACATACATAATATAACAAGTCTTTAACATGTCAAATCGTTAAACAGTAACATTGGGTTTTAACCACGAAGGCCAAGACTGATGATGTGGTACCATACGTTGATCCCGTTCAGTATCGCAGAGGTTACTTGGCTCGTCTCTCTGATGAAGGAAATCGGGTTTGCGACACCTTCTGTGCCCAAACTCTGGTATGACAATCTGGGAGCTACTTATCAGTGTGCTAATCCGGTGTTTCATGCTCGCACCAAGCACATTGATATCGACTACCACTTTGTTCGTGATAAAGTCGCGAAGAAGGAATTACAAGTCAATTTTATTTCTACTAAAGATCAGATAGCGGATATTTTTACTAAGTATCTTTCTTCTGTGCATTTTAATTTACTCTGTTGCAAGCTCAATGTTTTGGTTGACCAACCTTGTGCTTGAGGGGGAGTATTAGGACTCTACTAGTAGTATTAGACTAGACCTCTATTATATTAGTAGTATTAGACTAGATCTCTATTTGGTGTCTTTATATATTTTATATCCGCTGCTCTTGATCAATACACAGAAAATATATTATCATCCTTATACTAGTTGAATAAAATTAGAAATGAGCTTTATGAAAATAAACACACAAATTTATAAAAACCCATACACAACATGTATTAACAGGTCAACCCGCCAGTTAACTACCCAGCACAAGTTAGGCTAAACACTAACTGTTAGTTTTGTCTGGTGTTGATCAATTTGCGTAATTGCATGTCAAATAAACATTAAATCGAAATAAGAATTTAGTCAATCTCTTCATAAATTCACCTTTAATTTTTTGAAGTTATAGAGTTGCTATATATTGTCTAGGAGTTCCGCAAATTATGCAGTGGACTCGTGTTCACAATGCATTGTGGACACGAGTCCAAAACGACGTCGTTTTCAGAGAAAATGCGTCATTTCAGTTTAAAAAAATAATTTGATTTTGTCTCGTCATTAACGGCGTTATTCGTTTGTGTCATTATGAATGTACAGTTATGAGTGTAAACACAAAAAAGTAAACGTTGTATATATTCACAAAATTCCGTGTACAGCGTGTGTATAATTCAATGCAGGTACAAAATCTCTGTCTAGTCCTCTGATTCTTCACTGACGTTATCCATGGAAGTGCCTCCGGGATTCAAATAGCGTAACCTCCGGGATTTAAGCGGCGTAGCTTCCGGGATTTAAGTGGCGTAACTTCCAACAACGAGCGTCAAGAATTTAGAAGTAATCAACCCTGCAATGGATTCAAATTACCTGCAAAATCAACAAAAATGCCTCCGGGACTCAAATAGCATGGCCTCCGGGATTCAATTGGCGCGTGCCTCCAGGATTCAAGTGGCGTAGCTTCCGGGATTCAATTGGCGTGACTTTCCATAACGAACGTCAAGAATTTAGAAATAATCGACCCTGCAATGTTTCAAATTGCCTGCAATGGATTCAAATTGTCTGCAAAATCAACAAAAATGCCTTCAAATCTTCAAGCGTTCTTCAATGCCTTCAAGCTCTTCAAATGCTCTCAACTCCTCAAATCTTCAAGTGTTCAATGCCTTCAAGCTCTAAGCCTTCAAGTTGTTCAAGCTTTCAAGTGTGTTTTGGAATGAAAATGAGGGCCCTATTTATACTAGAAGCCTAACCAACATTCCTCAACAAACTCTCCCTTTAATTAATTAATTAATTTATTTCTTATTCTAGAAAATGAACCTTGTCCAGAATCAAGTCTAGGTTCATTATCGTATAATCTAATTCAAATTCAAATTAAATTATAATTATTTAATTCAAATATAATAAAATTAATATTATATTTAAATTATAACTATAATTCAAATTCAAATATAAAATGGGCTTGGACCAATTAATTAACTAATTCAATACCCCAAATCAAATTTAATTGGACTTATTAAATTAATTTAATTATTATGGCCCAATTAATTAAATTGGTCCAATAATCAATCTCAACGTTGGTCCAATAAAAACTTTGTCGTTTATTTATCGGGTTCAAATTTTCTGTGTCTACAAATTGCCCCCTCGAGACTTGTCGTGACTCGTGACATGCCGTCTGACGTGCTTGACGCGAGGCAGTCTCGAAAATTTAAAATTTGTATATGCCCTCAACTAACAGGTCAGAATAATATATCAAACTTTAATTAGCACATTTCCATAGAATGCATCCATGATACATGTTCAGGTCTATTTGCTTGATAATTCCTTTGTTCAAAATTTCATTGGATTAAGCCATAGTCAAACTGTGATAGGATTAGGCATTAACTCCAAAACAAACATATGACTATGCGCAATTCCTGGCAGCTTCAAATTCAATCCTCATCGTTCAACCATAACAAAATCAGGAGTGTAGAATCCTAGTTCAACTCTAACACTTCTCATGGTACACTATAAATATCATCTCAATCATTCCCAAATTCCACAGCAATCAACGAAACAGAGACCAAGGAAGAACAACTCTGCTTCTCAATAGGTAATTTCTCAACTCCATATCATTCTTTTTCCTATATATATATATATATATATATATATATATTTTTTTTTTTTTTTTTTAATTTGCAGGAACGGGAATACTTACGGCTGCATAAGGGAAGAAAAAAAAAAACAAGAGGGAACCTGGGAGCAAGCATAAATTGTGAGAAGCAATTCTGGGAGCATTGATTTTTTTTTTTTTTTTTTTTTTTTTTTTTTTTTTTTTTTTTTTTTTTGCAGCTTCAAGGAATTTTGTCACCCTCATGGAACAACGAGCGACGTGAATGGTGCCAATGAAGTAGAACAACCATCGGAGAGCGGGAACCATACCGCCGGAGTGTGAGTTTCTACTTGTAGTGCTCGTATCTCGTTGCCGACGGAGCTCTTCATCGGAGTCACTGGAAACCGCCGCTCAACTATTAATGCCGCTCAGCCCCTTCACCGGAGACTGTTCCTCGCCGTCAACGTTGCTTGTGATGACTTCTTGCTTTATTGGAGGGAAGCTCATGTCAAGATTTGTTTTGCAGGAGCAGGAGGGAGGCTCATGTCAAGATGGAGACCAGAGCCTGCTGCTCAACCGTCGGAGTCTACTTTGTTGCCGCAAGATTGCATCTTAGAAGCTCTGTTGATTTGTTTTACAGGAGGGAAGCTCGCGTCAAAATGGAGACCGGAGCCTGCTGCTCAACCGTCGGAGAAGGCCAACCAGTGAGCTGGAGTTCGTCCCTGCCTTTGCCAGAGTTGTTTTTTTTTTTTTCAGAAATTGCCGCTCACCCACCAACGTTGTTGGAGCCGCTGGAAGATTACCGCTCCGGAGACTGTTCTTCGTCGAAGTCGCCGGAATTCTTTACCGTTTGTTGCAGGTTGCCGGACTGCTGGACGTGGACAGTTGCACCCCGTCGTTGCCGTATGTACCGAAAAGAAACGGACGAAGGGAGCCACCACTGGTCTACTGCAAACTGAACTCTTTTATTTTCTTCTTTCAGGGATGAGACCATGAAACTTGAATTAATGGAGAGATGACAACACAGTGCCCAATGTGATGACAATGATCACAGCCCATTGTGACAGCTGCACCCATCCCCTTTCGTTTTTTTTTTTTTCGCCTCACGTTTTTTCTTTCTTCTGCTTCGTAGTTCTTATCCCCTATTCCCCTCTTTCTTTTTCTTTTGCTTGCTTTTTCATTCTGTCTTTCATTTTCCCTTTGTAAACTTTCTGCGTTGTTTTTTTTTTCTTTTCACCTTTTTTTTGTTTTCGTTTTTTGTTTCTTTTGATATTTTAATAGTAATACTAATATAATAATAATGATAATAATTATTATCGCACTTCTTGTCGCAGCTTTCTCGAATTTGGTATAATTTTAACACACACGGTTTGGGGCTAAAGAGCCTGGTGATATACAACGATCATAGCAATTAATCCGGCCACCACCCCTAACAACTAGACCCCTGAGCACGAAAGAGAAGTTCAAAGAAATTCATGACCAATAATTGAAACTCTTTTTACCCATGCTCAACAATAACTCGATGCCACGCAAGTTGTCGTTCCATTAGTTCACTTTTTCATTATAGCTTGGAATTTGTATTGTTGCTTCGCTTTTGCTCGTTCCTTTATTGGATTGTTAAAGCATACTTCTCTTGCATTTTAATATTCCTGAACATTAGAAGGAACCAT